CCTCCCTCGTCGTTGTCGTCGTCGGCGTCGCCGTCCTTCCTCCTTCTTCGTCGTTCGCGTCGTCGCCGTCCTCCCTCCTCCCTCGTCGTTGTCGTCGTTGTCGTCGTTGTCGCCGTCGTCGTCCTTCCTCCTCCCTCGTCGTCGCCTTCGTTGGCGTCGTCGTCGTCGTCGTCGTCTTCGTCGTCGTCGGCGTCGGCGTCGTTGTCGTCGTCGAAGTCGTCGGAGACGTCGTCGATGTCGTCGTCGTCCTCCCTCGTCGTCGCCTTCGTTGGCGTCGTCGTCGTCGTCGTCGTCTTCGTCGTCGTCGGCGTCGGCGTCGTTGTCGTCGTCGAAGTCGTCGGAGACGTCGTCGATGTCGTCGTCGTCGTTGTCGTCGGTGTCGTCGTAGTCGGTCTTAAGAGGTTTTGCAAACCAAGTTGCGGGTGGGAGGGTGGGATGTTTGCGCGAGCAGTGGAGAGGACAGCTTTAAGTTGAGCAAGTGATTGCTATCACACCATAGTTTGTACAATATCGGTTGAGCAACACAGATTGCACCACATAGATTGCACCTCACATGTTACACCATCTGTATATGCATATATATATATATATACATATATATATATATATATATATATATTGTACCGCAGAGGTTTCTCCACACAGGTAGCACCAAATAGATTGCACAATATGGATTGCACCACCTAGGTTGCACAGCATAGATCGCACAGCAGATATTGCCCAATACAGATTGCGCCACCGATGTATTGCACCACACAGACGGCACCATATAAATTTCATAACTTCAGATGCACCACATGGATGGCATCGCATAGTTTGCACAGCACAGGTTGCACAACCTAAATACTGCGACGCGCAAACGTGATTATATACGTGACTGCATACATCTATATATAGAGAGAGATAGATAGGAAGATAGATATGACCGTATAAAAATGTGTATACGGCACCGCGTCGATGGCACCACTTATATTGCACTGCAGATATTGCCTCACATCGATTACACATGATAGGTTGCTAGACATACACTGGTTGAGGTCCACGCTGGCAAACATGTGATGGGGGACCCGCAGGAGTAAGAATAAAGGGCACAAGTACAAGAACCTGTACAAGGCAGCGCTCATGGCGTGTGTCGGAGCCAAAAACGCCGACCGTGCTCTCCAGCTTATTGCGGAGGCGGAAATGCATTCTTGGGACGTGGACATCGGAATGTACCGAAGCGTTTCGAAGACCCTCGAAAGGTGTGAGCGTTGGGACGAGCGGATGATTTTGCTACTCCGCATGACGTTCGAGCTTGGTTTTAAGCCGAAATATGCCGAGCTGAAGGATGCATTTGTTTCGGCCATGTTCTTCCTGGTGCAGCGGGGCAGGGCCAGAGAAGCCTTGGATATGTTCAACCAGATTCTGCGGATCAGGCGGCCCAAAGTTAGCTTGAGCATCGAATTTTGGAAAACCAACATTACTGTACTGATCGGCGCGCTGGAGGAGGAGGGCGCTCTGAAGGAGGCCGCCGACTTGCGCGAGGAGATGGGGGTCCAGATGGCCGCCAGATACAACCAGGCTGCCAGGGAACAAAACTTCGTGGCGTCTTGCCCGTTGAACGTTTCCTTGTCGTTCTCCTCCTCTTCTTCCTCCTCCTTCCCCTGCCCATGCCCTACCTCCCCCGTCATCCCTCTTCTCCCCTCCTCCTCCTCCTCCTCCTCCTCGCCCTCCTCCTTTTCCTCCTCTTCCTCGTCTCCTCCTCCAAGCTGATGGGATGCAGTTTCTGCGGACCCCTTGGGGTTCTAAAGCAGAGGACCTAGGGGCGGCCCTGAGGGGTCCCCCAGCAGTCGGGGTCGTCGTTTTCCTCAAGCTCTCCATTCTCCTTCCCATCCCCATCTTCTCCATCCTCCCTCCGCTCCTTATCCTCCCTCCGCTCTCTCTCTCTCTCTCTCTCTCTATCTCCCTCTCTCTCTCTCATCCTCCCCGTTCCTCCTCCTTATCTCCGGGAGCTTTCTCACAGGACGTCGGGCGGCGTGTCCACGTGCTCCCCAGTGCCGAGCAGGTTGTCGATTCGGCGGTGGCCTCGGAATCCCCAACGACCTCGCCGCGCGGTCCGTCACCGCGCGGTTTTTGGGGGACCCCGGTGGCCCCAGTCCGCTCGGGCCGCCCTCGAGAGCGCCCCAGGTGCCCAAACCGAGCGACGACCCCGACGGCCCACTGACTCGCCACGCGGTGTGGTCACCGCACCCCATTGGGGCCCCCCGAGTTGGGGGCGACACCTGTGTCCAGCTCCCCTCGTGCCCAGCGCTGGCTCCTCACAGCGGGGCGGCGCAGTCAGGCAGCAGCAAGTTCCTCTCCCCTCCCTTCCTTGCTCCTGCGCGCGCGTGCTGGCAGGAGGGAGGGCCATAGTTGTGTCTACTCAGGCCAGCCTGAAGAGGCGACGTGGTCGCTGCAAGCTCACCCAGAGCGCCTGGAAAAACGAGCTGCCCCAACCACAGGCTTGAGATCGCCGTGTGTTGTGGGGGAGAGGAGGTCGAGGAGCAGGAGACGGCGGAACGGGATGGCGCTCGGTTGCCCTGATACGCCTGGCTTGAAACCCAGCACGCACCGTGTTCAAAACGTCCGTCCTGAACGCGGTGCGTGCTGGTTTGGCACGCGTTGACCCACGCTCTGACCGACGCACTTCGCCAGACCCACGTGTTCGATCGACGTCTTGAGCCCCGTGTCGGCACGCGACGACGGGTTGCGCTTTGCGCGCCTGGGCAGCCAAGGGAGGACGTTGCCGCCCGACAGGCCGTGTGCAGATACGGCGTGGAGGGCCAGTGGGAGGCGGCCCTGGACGTGCTCCACAACGCGCAGGAGACCCAGGCTGCGGCGCCCTACGTACGCAACGCGACCATCGCCGTCTGCGCCAGGGCCGGCCAGTGGGAGCAGGCTCTATTGCCAGACACAGAGAGAGAGAGGAACAAAAAAAAGGAGCGAGAGAGAGAGAGAGAGGCAGACAGACAGAGAGACACGCAAAGGCAGAGACAGTCATAGGTGCGGGGACAGAGACGGACGCAGGCAGATAGTGAAAGAGAGGAGGGTAGACAAACAGACAGGCAGACAGAAAGAGAGACAGAGGGACAGATAGAGAGAGAAAGAGAGAGATAACCAAAACATATACCTATACGACCACCCTTCGGGTGATAAGGAGGTTGTGGGGGGGAGAAGGGGGGGAACCAACATCTGACTCAATCGATCTCACTATCGATCTCACTCAACGGGACACCACGGGACACCGCGGGACACCTGTCGATTTCACTATCGGTTTCACTGTGTGGGACACCACGGGACACCTCTGGGCACCACATCGATCTCACGATCGATCTCATTCAACGGGACACTTGTCGATCTCACCATCGATCTCACTATCGATCTCGTTTTTTGGGATACCACGGGACACCTCGGGGCACCACATCGATCTCAGTATCGATCTCACTACCCATATCACTATCGATCTCACTATCGATCGCACTCAACGGGACACCACGGGACACCGCTAGGGCCACCGCCGGACGGAGGATAATCATCTGTCTTGATTTCGCCTTAGCAACGGCGGACACCACGGGACACCACGGGACTCCACTAGGGCCACCGCCGGACGGAGGATAATCATTTGTTTTGATTTCGCCCTAGCAATGGCGGGTTCATTCCTCTCGCGCGCCCACGCAGCTCCGCCTCGCCCGCACGCGCGACACGAACGAAGCGAAACGATGTCCCGGTTGGGGGTCTCCGTTCCACTGCGATCTCACCCCCCAACCTCCGATACAGATGTAGAGAGAAGAAAAAGTTGCTGCTCTAGGGAAAAAGGTTTCGCTCTTCATTGCCCGCGCGACACTCAACATGTACACCACAAACCCTCGACTCCCGTCTCATGCCTGATCATGGGGAAACCCCGACAGGGTAAGACAAGCGGACCCGAAATGGTGGGTCGGGCTAGTCGCGGACGGGACATTGAAGCGGACGGTTTCTTGTTCCCAATCCTTCTTTGGTTGGGTTCTCATTTTGAATAGAGCACCGTGGTCCCCATCACTAACTCACTCCTCCCCCCTCCTCCTTCCTCCCTCCTCTCTCCTCCTCCTCCTACCCTGGTGGGCTGCGATCTGCGAAACTGTCGCCGCTTTCGTGGGCTCCTGGGAGGCCCAGCGGAGGTACGTCTTACGCAGATCACCACGAGACCTCGCCGCCCACTGCGGGGCTGCGATCGGCGAAACTGTCGACAATTTCGTGGGCTCCTGGGAGGCCCAGCGGAGGTACGTCTTATGCAGATCACCACGAGACCTCGCCGCCCCGTGGGGGGCTGCGATTTGCGAAACTGTCGCCACTTTCGTGGACTTCTGGGAGGCCCAGCGAAGGTACGTCTTATGCAGATCACCACGAGACCTCGCCGCCCCGTGGGGGGGCTGAGAATCTGCGAAATTGTCGCCAGTTTCGTAGAATATTGGGAAGCCCAGCGGAGGTGCGTCTTACGCAGATCACCACGAGACCTCGCCGTCCCTTGGGGGGCTGCGATCTGCGAAACTGTCGCCATGCTTGTGGGCTCCTGGGAGGCCCCCCAGCGGAGGCACGTCTTACGCGGATAACCACGAGACCTCGCCATCCCCTGGGGGGCTGCGATTTGCGAAACTGTCGCCACTTTCGTGGACTTCTGGGAGGCCCAGCGGAGGTACGTCTTACGCGGATCACCACGAGACCTCGCTATCCCCTGGGGGGCTGCGATCTGCGAAATTGTCGTCATTTTCGTGGGCTCGTGGGAGGCCCAGCGGAGGTACGCTTTACGCAGATAACCACGAGACCTCGCCGTCCCCTGAGGGGCTGATCTGCGAAACTGTCGCCAGTTTCGTGTGCTTCTGGGAGGCTCAGCGGAGATGCGTCTTACGCAGATCACCACGAGACCTCGCCGTCTCCTGGGGGGCTGCAATCTGCGAATCTTTCGCCGCTTTCGTGTGTTCCTGGGAGGCCCAGCGGAGGCACGTCTTACGCAGATCACCACGAGACCTCGCCGCCCCGTGGAGGGTTGAGATCTGTGAAACTCTCGCCAGTTTCATGGGCTCCTGGGAGGCCCAGCGGAGGGAGGTACGTCTTACGCAGATCACCACGAGACCTCGCCGTCCCCTGGGGGGCTGCGATCTGCGAAACCGTCGCCAGTTTCGTGGGTTCCTGGGAGGCTCCCCAGCGGAGGTGCGTCTTACGCAGATCACCACGAGACCTCGCCGTCCCTTGGGGGGCTGCGATTTGCGAAACTGTCGCCACTTTCGTGGACTTCTGGGAGGCCCAGCGAAGGTACGTCTTACGCAGATCACCACGAGACCTCGCCGCCCCGTGGGGGGCTGAGAATCTGCGAAATTGTCGCCAGCTTCGTGGGCTCCTGGGAGGTTCAGCGGAGGTACGTCCTACGCAGATCACCTGACGTCTTACGCGAATCACCGCGAGACCTCGCCGCCCCTTATGTGGCTGCGATCGGCGAAACTGTCGCCACTGTCGTGGGGTTCTGGGAGGGCCAGCCCAGTGACGTCTTACACGGATCCCCACGAGAGTTCGTCGTCCCCTGAGGGGAAAATGTCACCACTTTCTTGGGCTTCTGGGAGGGCCAGCGGAGTGACGTCGTACGCGCATCACCGCGAGACCTCGCCGGCCCCTGGGTGGTTGCGATCTGCGAAACTTTCGCCTCTTTCGTGGGCTCCTGGGAGGTTCAGCGGAGGTATGTCTTACGCGGATCACTCTGAGACCTCGCCGCCCCGTGGGGGCATGCGATCTGCGAAATTGTCGCCACTTTCGAGGGCTCCTGGGAGGCTCCCCAGTGGAGGTACGTCTGGGGGAGGGGGGAGCTGCGATCTGCGAAATTGTCGCCACTTTCATGGGCTCCTGGGAGGGCCAGCGGAGTGACGTCTTACACGGATCCCCACGAAATTGTCGCCACTTTTGTGGGCTTCTGGGAGGGCCAGCGTAGTGACGTCGTACGCGGATCACCACGAGACCTCGCCGCCCCGTGGGGGGCTGCGATGGGCTTCTGGGAGGGCCAGCGGCATTACGTCTTACGCACATCACAACTATAGCTCGCCGTCCCCTGGGGGGCTGCGATCTGCGAATTTGTCGCCACTTTCGTGAGCTCCTCGGAGGGCCAGCGGAGTGACGTCTTACGCCAACCACAACTATAGCTCACCGTCCCCTGGGGGCATTCGATCCGTGAAACTGTCGCCACCAGTCCCACGAGGCATGGGCGGCCGGGTATAGAACCCCGGCGGCAGTCAGGCTCAGGGATGAACACATGAGGCACAGGCAGGTGTGATCTCAGCCCTGCTTATAGACTCCCCGTGGACGGACAAGGACGAATAATTTTCCCAAGGGCACCCTTGCTTTTTTAGATTGTTCGGCACCCTTGCAGAGCGCTGTCCTGCAATGCGAACACAGCGCAAGGCGCTGCTACTCCCACGAATTATGTCTCCAATCGTCACTCCTCCACATGTTTCCACGCCCCCTCCTGACGGCTCTCCTGCCAACGACCTGACTCTGAAGAGTCGCGCCGCACATGTGAAACATCTGGCTCTGGCCCGACGCTCTTTGGCGAAGCGCTCAAGGGCATCGTGGATCATCCAGTGACTGCTTGTGTAGCGAGCGATCCGATGTATACTCGCCACATGCCTAAAAGAGTCGGGCACGTCCCCGGGCCATTCTTCAGGAGGGAAAGAAACACACAGACACAATTAATCGTCGATTCCCCAGAAAATATGGGAAAATATGGGAAGTGGGGGGAAGACAGAAACCCAGAAAATATGGGAAAATATGGAGAATATGTTTATTTGTGTGTATTTATTTGTGTGTCCTGGGCGCCCTTCAATTCTTCAGACATCGGCCCATCGGGCCTCGACGGGCGGCGGACCCGAACGGGCGGATCGTGCAGGTCCGGCGGGCGGACCACAGCGGGGCGGGTCGGGCGCGCGGCACGCTCCGAGCGGGCGGGCGGGGCTCCGAGGCCTGGGGACGAGGAGCCCGAAACAGCTGTGAGCTGAAGCTGGAGCCCGAGGAGGAGGAGGAGGAGGAGGAGGAGGAGGAGGAGGAGGAGGGGGAGGAGGAGGAGGAGGGGAAGGAGGAGGAGGAGGAGGAGCAGGAGCAGGAGAGCAGTCGACCCAGCGGACCCCGACGGGCGGGTCGGGCGGCTGGACCCTGGCAGGCGGGCCAGGGCGGGCGGGCTTTGGTTGGCGGGTCGGGGACGCTCGCCCGCCCCATCGGGCGGGTCGGGCGGACGGAGCAGTCCATCGCGCGCAAGTTGTCAGGAGGTCGCAGGCGAGAGCGCGATGACCAAGTGTCTTGTGGGGAAGTCCTGGGCGAGGCCGCGATTCCAGAGCGGCCAGAGCGCGAGGTCTGAAGACAAATGCTCCAAAGTTTCACGCGAGAGCACGGTTCTTCCGTAAATTGCAGGGTTTGGATCGAGAGCGAGATTTTTGAATGCATTGTGAGGACTTCTCGGGCGGTTGCTGTTGTTGCCGCGAAGCTTGGGGACCCAACAGCACAGTTTGAGGTTCAAGACTGCTCCTGGGAAAACACGGTGCGAGAGCTGAGGGGGGCGCGCTTCATCGGCAAACATAATGGGCACTGGCGAATGGGTCGATCATGATCCTTGTGGAGGCCTCCAGCCTGTGACGCGCCGATCCAGGGCGCGCCCGCCGTCATTTTGATGGCCGCTGTCGGGATCCCGCAAAGGGGGGGAGGCCCGGGGGGGAAGTCGATCGCTTTTGCATCGAACCGCCTCCAGACATGACCGCGCCGTTTTTTTGACGAAAAAAAGACAGGAGGTTTTTGGCTGAATTCGGCCTCGGGGGGCCCTCGCCGGGCCTCGGGACCGTCAAAAAACGATTCTGAATGAAAAACTGGTCCCGGAGAAAGGGTCGGGACTTCCAGGGGGAGGAGAGGAGGAGTCAGGAGGGAGGGGGCCCCGCGTTGAAAAAAACAGGACGTCGCATGTCTGGGAACAGATGCCCTCCAGCCGCCAGCAGCTCCCGATACTTGCCGAGAGGTTGGGCATGTGGTGAGCATCTGTTTGCGGCAGGTCGGTGCACCACTGGATCGAGCCCCCCTTCACGGTCACCCCCCCTCTCTGGTGGATCCCGACGTTGGCTGGCCGGGCACGGACTGGGCACGAACCAGTCGAGGAGGAGGAGGAGGAGGAGGAGGAGGAGGAAGAAAGAGGAGGAGGGGAGGAGGAGAAGGAGGAGGAGGAGGAGAGGAGAGAGGAAGAGAGGAGGAGGAGAGGAGGAGGAGGAGGAGGGGGAGGAGGGGGGAGAGGAGGAGGAGGAAGAGGAGGAAAATGAGGAGGAAGAGGCTGGGCTGGCCGGAGCCCGGCGGAGGCCTACGGCGGGGGGGGCCGGGCCAGGGCGGGGAAGCCCGGGCCGAGGTCGGGCCGAAGCTCGACGGGCGTCCAGTGCACACGCCGTGCCCTCTAGACCCCCTCCTCCTCCTCCTCCTGCCTCCTCCTCCTCCTCCTTCTCCTCCTCCTGCTCCTCCTGCCTCCTCCTCCTCCTCACCATCATCATCATCATCATCATCAACATCATCAGTATCATCATCATCATCATCATCATCATCATCATCATCATCATCATCATCATCATCATCATCATCATCATCATCATCATCATCATCATCATCATCATCATCCTTTCCTCCTCCTCCTGCTTCTCCTCCTTCTCCTCCTCCTCCATTCCTTCTCCTTATAGATAGCTCCTCCCTGTCGCACCCCGAGGCCAGTTTTTAGGGCGGGCCGGGCGTTTCGCCTGAGACTTCCTCACCGTTGATGATTTCGAAGTTTAAAGAATCACAACAGCTTGACAAATGGAGGGCGGGTGGTTTTCAAAATGTGGCTCTCGCCTTAGCGCCGCGCACATTCGCTTTCAAAATGTGCAAGAGTTTCACGGATTGAAGGCGGGTCGTTTTCAAAATGTGGCTCTCGCCTTAGCGCCGCGCACGTTCGTTTTGAACATTCGCAAGAGTGTCACGGATTGAGGGCGGTTCCTTCTCAAAATGTCGTTCTCGCCTTAGCGCCGCGCACATTCGTTTTGAAAATGTGCAAAAGTTTCACGGATTGATGGGCGGTTCTTTTTCAAGATGTGGTTCTCGCGTTAGCGCCGCGTGCATTCGTTTTGAAATTTTGCAAGAGTTTCACGGAATGAGAGCGGTTCTTTTTCAAAATGCGGCTCTCGCCTTAGCGCCGCGCACACTCGTTTGAAGAAATTGCAAGAGCTTCACGGGTTGATAGCGGGTGGTTTTCAAAACGTGGCTCTCGCCCCAGCGCCGCTCACATTCATTTGAAAAATTTGCTAGGGTTTCACGGATTCCCATGATCAACGTACCAAAAACGATGTTTTGCAAGGATTCAGGATGATGCGGGTGCAACAGTTATGTTGATTCGCGGTGTTGAAATCCAAAAAATGGCGCTATGGCACGATTTCGGATCGCCAAAACGCAGCAGTCAGGTTGATACGTGGCGTTGAAATCCCGAGAACCATGTTTTGGCATGTTTCAGGATCTTCAAACGGCTGTCTTCCAACGAGGCAGTTCCCTCAATGGAAATGAACCGTTGTAGAGGCCTATGAATAGGGAGCTTGGACGGAGGGTTAATTCCAACATAGTTGATGAATCTTGGGTTTACACTGGTCCTCCTCCTCCTCCTCCTCCTCCTCCTGCTCCTCCTCCTCCTCCTCCTCCTCCTTCTTCTCATCCTCCTCCTTCTCCTCCTCCTCCTCCGCCTCCCTCCTCCTCCGGAGGGGGTGGGGTACCATTTTCGGTTTCTGCGGGCCTTTATTGGGCCTCGAAGCCGTCAAAAAACAGCTGAGGAAGAAAAACCGATCCCGAGGAGTGGGTCGAGACCTTTGGGGGTCGACGCTTTGAAAGAATCCTGATTCCGGGGGCCTGGGCCTGCGACAAGGAGCTTGGGACGGGCCCCCCCCCCTCGCCCCAGCATAGCCACCCTCAACTGTGAGCCGATTCAATGCGCAGTCTGACGGTTCTTTCGCTGTTTCCATCCTTTCTTCTTCGCGGCATCTGCTTCCGTCGCGTCGAGCAGGTTGAGGTTCATGCCCGCGCGCCTGCCCTGGCCCAGAGATATCGATCCCGCCGACACATCCTTCACGTACAGTGCACACCCATCCCTCCCTGGCCCCAGCCCGCCCCCTTCCATGCCTCTCCTTTCTTTGCCCACACACCAGGGCCTCTTGCACCGTCGGGGGACACGCTCACAGTCTTGATGGAAGGCAAGTCGAGCCGAAGAGTCCTGATCGAAGGCACGTCGAATCGAAGTCGAGCAGGATGAAGATGAAGGTTACGAAGGTCAGTTACACTGAGGGGTCGGCCACCGAAGCGGCTCTTCGGCCCTCGCCGGCTTTGTGATCTTTTTTCATTCCTCGTTTTGCCGATCGGCGCGGGCCCTCGCACCCCCCGCTCCCCTCCCCATGGAGTAGATCTTGTTTGTTTTCGGCGCATGTTCCGAGCAGGTGGGGTCCCCCCCCCATCGGCCGCACTGCTGCAAGCAGTCGCACTAAGCAGAGGTCCGGAGCCAGACTATCCCCCCCTCCCTCCTTTTTCCGCCCAATGTCAGGAGGGGACAAACACACAGACACAATTAATCGCCGATCCCCGGGGAAGTATGCGAGAATATGGGAAGTGGGGGGAAGACGAAAATCCATAATACATATATATATATATATATATATATATATATATACATACATATACATACGTGTATATATATACACACATATATATATATATGTATATATATGTATTTGTATGTACTTATTTGTGTGTCCCTGGGCCCCTTCACAATGTCGAAACGCCGAATAAAAAAGACGTTCATTTTGCGAGGGAGGGCCCCGGACCCCAGCACACGGGGGACCGCCTCCCCACATGCTGCTGTCGCGGGCCAGGCGCTCACACGGATCGGCAGAGCTGGGCGGGGACGCCAATGGCTCATTTGCACTGGGACGTTGGCGAGGAGGAGGAGGAGGAGGAGGAGGAGGAGGAGGAGCAGGAGGGAAGAGGAGGAGGAGGAGCAGGAGGAGGAGGAGGAGAAGCAGGAGGAGGAGGAGGGAGGAGGAGGAGGAGCACGAGGAGGATGAAGACGGAAGGAAGGAAAAAAGGAAGGAAGGAAAGAGGAGGGAGGAGGAGGAGGAGGAAGGAGGAGGAGGAGGAGGAGGGAGGGAGGTGGCCGCGGAGGAGGAGATCAGCGGGGCGCGGCACGCCAGGCAGGGCGAATTGCTGGGACCGCCTACACATTTGGAGAGTGCTGGAGTCACAAAAAAGTTAGCTCGTTGAAATGACGTCCAGTTCGAGGTCGGAAGGGATCCAGTGGTTCCTTAGGTCAGCATGCGTTCCGCTGATGGCGAGCACCTTCGGTGTTCCTTAAAGTTTCGCACGCGCGGATCCGTCTTGTCGATCAGGGCGGCTGGTCGAAGGAGCGGGGCTCCACCAGGGGCTCGGCCGTTTCTTCGAATTTGACGGCTCGACTTGGACAACGAGCTTTCGTTCTTTATCTATCATTCCTTATTTCAGCAGCCGGACTGTAGACTGGTTCATGACGTTCATCGTGTTCCCAATGATCAGGTCCTCTTTTCCCAGGTGTTCTGCCCTATCCCAACAATCCCCCGCGCCAGTAACTCAAACGGACATGAAGAATGATGGCGCTTCGGCAGCGTGAGCTCCCAATACCTCCCGGTGCATCCTCCTCGGGGCCTGCCGCTGCAGCAGCACGGGCAAACTCACTCAAGAGCTGGCCGACGCCGTCCCACCCTTCCACCGCTTCTCAAGGATGCCCCTCCGGAGCAAGGGCCCCCTGTCTCGCGCACGCTGCTCGGGCGCGTGCTGCCAGAGCAGCGGTCCACGCGGGCGAACCCGTGCTGGGCGGCCAGGCAGTCAGAAGGATTGGCGGCGGGGGCAGCGGCAGGGCGCTTGTGCCTCACGCGGCAGGCGGGGGGCAGCAGGGAACTGGGGGCAGGGCGGCACGCTTCAGCTAGAAGGAGAAGAAACGCCATAAACGTAAACGTTTGGCGCTCCGCGCAGATTGTGGACCCCCTTCGCTGGCGCGCGGAGCGCGCCAGGGGCGGCGTTGGAGGCGCCAGCAGGGGGGCCCAGTGCGGAACCAAGAAACCTGCGCGGAGCGCCAAAAGTTTATGTCTACGGCGTTTTTGTTTTCCGATCAGCAACACGTGCGAACGACCCTTCGCCAGGGTGACCCTTGGGGCGCGGCCTTCCAGGGGGCGCGCGCCGGGGCGGAGCCCAGGCACGCGGGCCGCTGCTGTCGCATCGCACGCCGCGGGCGGCAAGCCGCGTAGTTGCCATGGGTCGCTACTGCGTGTGGCCGAGCGCCAGAGCTAAGCGGGCGGCAGAGGGCGCAGAGGGCTGAGGGGCGCCAGGGCAGCGCCTATCACACGCACGCCCGCACCCAGCCAAAGAGAGATTCAGGCGATTGCGATCTTCCAGGGCGTCGCCCAGGAGCAGAGAGACGTGTACACCTACACTTCGACGATGCAGGGGCTTATGGAGGCGGGGCGGCCCATGGAGGAGGCCCTCCAGCTCTGGGAGGACATGATCGCTTCTGGCGTCGAGCCCACCGAGGCGACACCGTCGAGGAGGGAGGAATCGGGGGGCATCAATCGAGGAAGAAAAAGAACGCCATAAACGTCCACTTTCGGAGGTCCGCGCGGATTTCTTGGATAGGCGCTGGACCAGCCCAGCGCCGGCGCAAAGCCACTATCCGCGGACGTCCTAGGTCCACGTTGAAGTATTTATCTTCCTTCCAGGCCCACAAATAAGAGAAAGAGAAGAGGAGGAGGTTGCCGCGGATATCTCAGCTGGCTCTCTTCCGAGTTCGGTCCCAACCTCAGGTGTCGTACGGCTTCATCGTAATCGGGCTGAGCAACGCGGGCATGTGGCACAAGGCCTGGAGGAGGAGGAGGAGGAGGAGGAGGAGGAGGAGGAGAAGGAGGAGTAGAAGGAGGGGATGTGCCAATAGGCTAAGAATTGGGAGAGCACGGAGGGGAAGGATGCGCAGGAAAAGGATGGGTAGGAGGGGTGGAGGGGGAAGTGAGGACGGGAGGAGGGGAAGAGGGGTCGGTCGGTCGGTCAGAGATTTGAGGAAGTGCCTGGCGTGCGAGCGACAGACCGGGGTGTGCGGTATTAAGTAGAGCGCCCCATCCCAAAACGCGTTTACGGTTGGCCCAGCCTCTTCCCAGGCACACGAAGCCGATGAAAAACAAGAAAGGTGCACACGAGGCTCCAGGATGCCGTCAAAACAAACCATGGACGTCCGCCCTCGGCGTAAATGCAGCGCCAAAAAAATCCATTGGCTTGCGACACCAGCAATGGAGTGATCCACGGCGGGGCTGGCATCCCCAGGGGAAGAGAAGAAAGGAGATGAGGAGGATCAGGAGGGAAGAGAACACGCAGACACAAATAATCGGCGGTTCCCAGGGTAGTTCGGAAAATACTGGAAGTGGAGCGGAAGACATCCAGGAAACACGGAAGACAGGGGGAATCCATGGATTCGTGTCCGTTCGTTTGTGTGTCCCTGGTCCATTTCAGAGGAGGAGGAAGAGGAGGAGGAGGAGGAAGAGGAGGAGGAGGAGGAGGAGGACTAGGAGGAGGAGGAGGAGGAGGAGAAGGGGGTCCAGCCTGACCACGGCCTGCCCCTCCCTCCCCCGGCGCAGGCGCTCCCCGAGCCCCCCGGAAAAAACGGCCCCATCTCCGCCAGTCCTGTCACGCGCCACAGGGGGATGAAGGGGAGGAGAAGGGGGAGGAGGAGGAGGAGGAGGAGGAGGAGGAGGAGGAGGAGGAGGAGGAGGAGGAGGAGGAGGGGCAGGAGGAAGGAGGAGGAGAAGGAAGGAAGGGGAGGAGGAGGGGGAGGATGAGGAGGAGGAGGAGGAAAAGGAAGGAAGGAAGATCCGGAGCCATGTTGGCTCACGTAAGTTTGGCTCGAGTTCGATACCCTTGTCGCGAGGGCTCGAACTTAGAGTTTTCCCGCCGCCGTGTGATAACTATCGAGGGGGCGCCCGACGCAGACGCCCCCTGGAGCAAGATGCGCTCCCAGCTCACAGTGTCCCACCATTCCAGGTTCGCGAACCCGATCCCGTGGTAAGCATCTTCCGCGCTCAGATTCTCATCAAGGTAGTCATCGTACTGCCCGTCATCCCCCTCCTCTTCGTCAGGTCCCCCTGGTTGCGCATTCAGGGGGGGGCTGTAGGATGGCTGCTGGGGGCGGCGGGTCAGCCTCCGCGACCCGAAGCGGGTCATCAGGCTGCCTCGGGCCAAGGCGTGCGTGGGCGCCGCCAGTGGGAGGCCTGGAGGGCCTCCGGGCTTCCCTGGTTCCCTCCTCTGCCCCACCCACCTGTGGGGCCTGGTCCGCCACCGACTCCTGGATCGGGAGGATCGGGCCTGCGCGTGCCTCAGGGGCGGCCTCGAGGTTCTCGCGCTCGCCCTCCGCGAGCTGTGTATATCCCTCAATGCCCGAGGCTGGAGGCAATGGGCCATCCACACACACACACACACACACACACCAGGTGGAGCCACTTGTTGCCCGTGTGGGACGTTGAGCCCACGGGGCGGGCGACAGCCCCCGCGACCCGCCATTCCCCTGCGTCAAACCCCGCCAGACATCGCGAGCAGTGGGCCTGCTTTCCGCGGCAGGCTGAATACTGACGCACCAGCGGGTGGTCCTGCCTCCATTTGTGCGTCGGCGCCGCCGTGCGGGCTGGCCCTCGGCGTCGCGCATGGTCACATGGGCTGCCGCGCCTACCTCGAGAGCACGCGGGGCTACCCCAGCGCTCCCGACGTTGGCCACGGTGGCAGCAGCGCGTGCCCGCTCCAGTGTTACCACAGAGTTACTCCCAGCCACACGTTCACCTGCACTTGCGTCCGCAGCGCCGCCGGCAGCCGCCGCCATGTCCCTGGACCTCCCATCAGGGGCAAGAAAAGGTGTATATGTAACACGCGGACAACGTGGAAAGAGGATGTATGTTTGAGGGTAGTAGCAGCAGTAGTACCCCCCACCCGCAGGCCCCCCAGAGCCTCGGAGTACTACTACTACTACTACTACTACTACTACTACTACTACTACTACGACTACTACGACTACGACTACTACGACTACTACGACGACTACTACTACTTTTACTGCTACTATTGCTACTACTACTACTACTACTACTA